CGCACCAAGTGACACTAACATTCTGTTTGGCTAATATTGCCAGGTCCCTAGTGGCGTCCACAAGCTCCAAGTAGTTTTCATTCTTGCTAAGGGTTTCTAAAAATGTGTATCGGTCATTGATGGCAACATCATCTGGTGTTGTCTCATGAGCGGCCGGCTGTGTTGTACGTTCTGTGAAATGAGAGGCAAATGGAGCCGGCCGGCCTTGATCTTCTTCATCTAAGTCTAGGGTGCTCACTACTTTCGTCTTGGACTTCCCAGTGACCCGAATATCAGCATCCTTGGCCTTAATAAAGACAACTAGCTTCTGATTTGTAGCAGAACGTCGTTCCCAATGCATCCATAGACGAATTTACCTCCTCTGTCTTCATATGAGAAGGGTCTTTGACCACAAATCCTGTGGGAACTGAACCAGGTTCCAAATAATTGGACGGGCTGGCAGTTATCACGCCCCAAGGTACAGGTCTAGAGCCACCTGTGCAGACTTCTACAAACCATTGAGTCAATCAAATGTCATGCACATATTGAAGATGTTAGATCTTACTGTATGAAGTATGAAAGATACTTCTAATCAATTCGTGTTGGCCCTTGAGGCCAATACCATCACGAAGAGGAAGTTTTGCATACCCCTCATCATCTACTATGATTTCAGGTAAGACAGGTCCATCCTCACAGTCTGAAGCCGCATGGTCTGAATCCTCTGAAGGGTCTATCAATTTAATAGTCAGTGAGCATGATATTTAAAATCAAATGAAACACGTACAAAATTCAGTCTTAGACCATTCTCCAAAGGATTCAAATCCATTTGCAGCCCACTCCTTGATACCACTCGAGCTCACAGAAAATTTTTTCTTGGCATTCTGAGGCGTAGTTTCGTGTCTATAGTAGTTTAGTTAGTCTTGAGATTTCCATGTTGATTTGATGACTTACAGACTGACGGACAATGTCTGACTAGCTTTTTTCTTATGACTAACAAGCATTACTATGCGACAACCCATGGTGCGCCGAATTTGCTCTGCAAAATCTTCCAGAGTTTTCTTGAGGTTATTCTTACGATATCTCAAGCCAAAGTGTTAGACTGGAATAACTGTAGATTTGAAGTAAAACTTACATTGCCTGAGTTTCTTCTGGCGCCCCCTCCTCATTCCATTTCTTCATGGCAAACTTGACCTCCTGCTGTTGTGAAGGTGTCATGTTGTTGAACCACTCCCTGGCATTCCCAGTGCGGTACTTGATTGAATACTCCAAGCCTTTACTCTGTTGTTGGGCCTTGTCATATGAGTCGATCTCCTGCTTAAATAATTTCTGTGCTACGTCCCACTCAGACAGGGGTTTCTTATAGAAAGATGGTTCTCTTGGGCGACTCGCTGCCTCACGTTCGTCTGCCTCTTCCTTGTCTTTGAGACTTTTGGCATAGTATTCTTTTATTGCCTGTAGGTAACATTTATGTATATCATCAGACAACTAAATACATGTACAGTATAAGAATTTTGTGACCTTTTTCAAGGAAGTAGGCAAGGCAATGGGTTCCTCTTGCTCGTCTTGAGCAGCTAGTATGGCCCTCCGAATCTTCCTCACCACAGGCTTTCCAACAGATGAGGAACCTGCAGCAAAAATGGCCTTAGAGTGAAGGTCGAGAATTGGCTTAAAGGCAATAGACCAGTCGGTAGACATCGTAATTGATTCAAGATAAAAATTGCAGGTAGGCTGGTACAGGCGGTAGGAGGGTGGCTAGCCGAAATTAATTTGAACACCCATGTTTATCAACAATAACGTGTGACTTTCATGAAAGTCACACGTTATTGTTGATAAACATGGGTGTTCAAATTAATTTCGGCTAGCCACCCTCCTACCGCCTGTACCAGCCTACCTGCAATTTTTATCTTGAATCAATTATCAAATTGGATATATTGAGACGGTCAAATTCACATCAAGTAACAAGATTAAAGGCACATTATACTTCCATTGAGTGGAGTTAGACAGTGTAGATAATAGACAAATTCACATCAGGTAAAAAGATCCAAAACACGTTATACTTCCATTGAGCGGTGAGGGTATCTAATCAAGTAAGATGAAGAAAAATGAAACATGAAGGGATGTACGAAAAAGCTAAGACAAAATAATTGTATCCTAATCCTCATCCTCATCAGGGACACTAGGCATGGGCCTCAAGACAACCGAAATCCAGCAGGAGCCAGGTCTTTTGCCTGGCAAAAGGATCCTGGAATGAGGTGGTTGTGAGAATACATACTTTTTCCTACATTGGCCATTCTTGCATTCAAAGATGTAATCTTTGTGCATGTTGACAGAACACCAGGCGTTACTCCACCCACACTGTGGGCACTGGACCGGCAGGTACTGACCCCAGGGGCGAAGTTGGGAATGCGTCCAGGCGAACTTGGTAACGGCCAACGAACCTGAGTTGTCAGGCATCAGCAAGAACACGTCAGTGTGGCGCCCAAGTTTGTAGGACTGGCCCAACATGTCAGGGAAGACGATGTGAATGGGCAAACGCTCGATGATGACCAGCTCCGCGAATGCGAGCAAAAGGTGGGTGGCGAAACTCGGCTGAAAACGAACAGCATTAAAGCCAATAGTGGCTGTGATGCGATGACTGTTAGGGTTAGTTAGTATTTGCAAAGATAAGATCAAATGGACTTACTCTATGACCGCCTGTTGCAAGCCTGAAAAGGAAGTGACGTTGTTGATGAGCGCGCCACACGAAAACAGCCATAAGTATGATTCCGCGGCACCATGAATCAGGGGATGCCAAGGTGAAAGCAGAACATCGAGAACCTTTGGTGTCAAATGAGCAAATACAATGTTAGTCAAAAAAATGCCACTTACAGAGTGAACGCGTGCCGAAACGTATGACTTCTTGTTGCCCTCGTACCCAATAAATGGATCTCCATGCTCGTTGTCGGTGTGGTTAGTGATGGCGACGACGACACGAGCCCAGTTGGAGCTCATCAGCGACTGGATGATGGCAGTCGCCTGCAACCGGTACTCGTCGATCTTTGAGGCATTGCCGATGTCGAACACGATGGACCGAAATTCAAACCCTCCGCTGGGGAAGTATGGCCTGAAGGAATTCGGAGGCCAGTTCGAAACAGCCGCCGGTGACGTCGTGGTCGACGAGGACGAGATGGAGCATGAGCGTGGGTGCCGAAGACAGTTGGGAATGGAGTGAAACCTCCAACGTAGCACGAATTTGGAGGAATGAAGGAAGGAGCGGTTGCCCCTTCCTGTAAAAACCCTATAAAATGAAGTGAATGTTAGTTAGCATGAAATAAACGAAAAAACTTACAAAATAGGGCGACTGAGATGCGCGCCCGTGTCGTTCCATGCCAACATGGCAAGATATGCAGACGAACGTGACGTCATCGGCCTGCACCGCGTGTGCACTGGCAGGCGGGATGTTCATGCAGTTTGAACACATCACCCGCGGACAGGTGCTGCAGAGGAAGAGGCAATCTTCCCCTACAGAACCGTCTCTGCAGATGAGACAAAACTGCAAATAAAGACGCGTGTTAGTGCAAATAGTAGGTAACTAATCACTTACCTCGTTGTGTTCAGACGGCTCTCTCACATTCAGCTCACCCGGCGCAGTGACCGCTCCAGTAGATGCCGGCAACGACAAGGCAATTCGTGGCGCGGTGCCACCGGTGGACTTCTTGCAGGTTTGTTTAGACTTCACCATGGTGAAGAGAGACTATTATAGATATATTCAAATTAGTAGATGACACGGCAAATAGCACTTACAGTTATGTAGTTCAAACAGATGCAAAGAGAGGAGAGCGCCGGCTGAATGTACTTAGAAAGAAATGAACAAGTTTGAACGTTGGTTGATTGTGACAAACAGATCCAAATAGTCACGTGATTATCAACAATAAACTCAACAGCGTCATAATATTGGCTAATCCACAATTCAACGCGTCGCGTGTCAAAAATCCACTCAACACGTGCCGGCGCGCCGGCACGTGTTGAATTTGTGGATTTTTGACACGCGACGCGTTGAATTGTGGATTAGCCAATATTATGACGCTGTTGAGTTCATTGTTGATAATCACGTGACTATTTACAAACAATAACAAACTGACACGTGAATATGAACAACAACAATCAGTTCTCACGGTTCAATCTCTTCTTTCGTCTTACCTTCATCATTCTCCTTCATCCTTTATTTCTGCCAGTGCCGTTACTTCAGGGCGACTTCCGGTGTACTCCTTTGGGTTCTTGCAGACTGCAGCTGCAAGAATTCAAAGGTACTACCCTACAGTCGCCCTTCAAACATAGTAAGTTCAACTTTGGTGGTGCGCCTACTTACTAACTGTTTTCATTTACATATACTCTCTTTCCCTTGAGGTTTCTCAAGGTAAGTACTTAATTGCTCACACCCGCTTGCTAATGTCTGTTGTACTTAGGATTTTGGAGACTTTGGATGGCGCAGTGACAGCCACTCCTCCCTTTGAGCGCCCTCCTGGCAGTTCCCTAACGTAAGTCCTTCTTTTCCCGCGTCTGCTTGCTAACAGTTTGTTCTATTTAGGATTATACTTACGAATTTCGGGACTTTGGATGGCAGTTAGAGCCACTCCTCTTTTTGAGCGCCCTCCAGTTCCCAACGTAAGTCCTTCTTTTCCCGCGTCCGCTTGCTAACGTTTGTTCTATTTAGGATTATACTTACGAATTTCGGGACTTTGGATGGCAGTTAGAGCCACTCCTCCCTTTGAGCGCCCTCCAGTTCCCAACGTAAGTCCTTCTTTTCCCGCGTCCGCTTGCTAACGTTTGTTCTATTTAGGATTATACTTACGAATTTCGGGACTTTGGATGGCAGTTAGAGCCACTCCTCCCTTTGAGCGCCCTCCAGTTCCCAACGTAAGTCCTTCCTCTCTCATGTCCGTTTGCTAACGTTTGTTCTATTTAGTATTATACTTACGAATTTCAGGACTTTGGATGGCGCAGTTAGAGCCACTCCTCCCTTTGAGCGCCTTCCAGTTCCTTAAACGTAAGTCCTTCTTCTCTCGCGTCCGTTTGCTAATGTCTGTTCTATTTAGTATTCTGCTTATTGGAACTGGGGGTTGCGCAGTGCATGCCACTTGTCAGTGGCTCCTGCTTATAGGAACTGGGGGTTGCGCAGTGCATGCCACTTGTCAGTGGCTCCTGCTTCTTGAAATTGGCGGTAGCGCAGTGCATGCCACTTGTTAGTGGCTCCTGCTTATTGGGACTGGGGCTCAGCGCAGTGCATGCCACTTGTCAGTGGCTCCTGCTTCTTGGAATTGGCGGTATCGCAGTGCATGCCACTTGTTAGTGGCTCCTGCTTATTGGGACTGGGGCTCAGCGCAGTGCATGCCACTTGTCAGTGGCTCCTGCTTCTTGGAATTGGCGGTATCGCAGTGCATGCCACTTGTCAGTGGCTCCTGCTCCGACTTTTTAATAGCCTGCTCCAACTTTTTAATGGTGGTAAGCGCTCAATTCCTGATGACCTTAACTGATCTGTTTTGTTCTCTAGACTGCTGAACCTGCCGGTACTTTTGTGTGGCAAGTGCTCTCTAGTTAAGTGTTAATCTTGTCTTAAATTTCGGTCTAACGTTTCTACAGGACAAATTTGTATTGTATTATATATATATTTGCTACATACATTTTCACCTGGAGTGTTGAGGCTTTGGTGAGGAGGGCCCCCTCATTGAAGTCTCGCCTCCCCTTTTGTATTTGTTACTTTATTTGTTTGCTTACTTGTAGTAAAATTTATTGTCACTCGTACTTTGTATTTGAAAATGTATGTTGATGGATGCACTTTATTTGCTGCCGGCTGAAAAGGTCACGTGACCGTGTGTATATTAGCAAAGAGCCTTATTAAGAAAGCAAGCGCAAAAGCACAGTAGTGTATAATAATCAAACGCTGCACAGACCAAAGCAACTATTATCTACTACATGTCTTAGATAGATAATGTGTTATGTAGATCTCAATTCTGCCTTGATGCGGCTCACCATTGACATGCTGAAGGACGCTATCATTGATTATTGTCTGCCAGTCAAAATATACTATTGGCATAGGCAGATGGTGGCAGAACACTAGGACAAGTAGCCATGACGCCATATGATACAAACTTCCCTTCCCGGTCAGAAGGTTGATTCTTCTTTGAAATTGCCTTCTGACCACAGAGGGGAGTCATCATATGGCGTCATTGTCACCATCTGCCTGGGCTGCTAGCATATTTTGGACTGACGGACATTCTCAATACCCTACAGGCCGCTTAGAGGCTAGCCCGCCCTCAAAACTGTTCGTGTTAAGAGTTCTGCCTCAGAGGTAATACTTAGTTAGCTACACCTATACTGTAGGGTATTGAGAATGTTTTCTTCGGTTAACAAAGAAAACATTTTCAATACCCTACAGTATAGGTGTAGCTAACTAAGTATTACCTCTGAGGCAAAACTCTTAACACGAACAGTTTTGAGGGCGGGCTAGCCAGTATATGCCTCAGAGGTAACCTCAGAGGTATCTCCAAACTGTTCGTGTTAAGAGTTCTGCCTCAGAGGTAATACTTCGTTAGCTACACCTATACTGTAGGGTATTGAAAATGTTTTCTTTGTTAACCGAAGAAAACATTCTCAATACCCTGCAGTATAGGTGTAGCCAACTTACCTCTGAGGCAGAACTCTTAACACGAACAGTTTTGAGGGCGGGCTAGCCTCTAAGTGGCCTGCAGGGTTTCTCAATACCCTGCAGTATAGGTGTAGCTAACTTACCTCTGAGGCATATACTGTAGGGTATTGAAGATGTTTTCTTTGTTAACCGAAGAAAACATTCTCAATACCCTACAGGCCACTTAGAGGCTAGCCCGCCCTCAAAACTGTTCGTGTTAAGAGTTCTGCCTCAGAGGTAAGTTGGCTACACCTATACTGCAGGGTATTGAGAATGTTTTCTTCGGTTAACAAAGAAAACATTTTCAATACCCTACAGTATAGGTGTAGCTAACGAAGTATTACCTCTGAGGCAGAACTCTTAACACGAACAGTTTTGAGGGCGGGCTAGCCAGTATATGCCTCAGAGGTAACCTCAGAGGTATCTCCCCTCCATGGTCAGAAGGGAAGAGTCAGCCTTCTGATGGTGCAGGGCAGTTTGTATCATATGGCGTCATTGCTACTTGTCCTGGTATCCTCCGGATGCCAATTTACTATTATACACTACTGTTTTTGTGATTGCATTCTTAATAAGTGAGTCCTTGCTGTCTCTCAAGGCGTTGAACTCCAGCTGGAAGTGTCTCCTGTTATTTGAGACAGGGATCCCACAGTGTAGTCCCAGATTCAGAATATCATTCATTCTTCTGTGGTAGTCTGCCAATATTAGTCTTCACTCTTCCAGCATCTGAGCGAGTTATTACAGTACTAATTATGTCACAATCTGGGCAAGACTTCATTTAATCAGTCTTCCATCAGTAGATTCCATTCATATATCCAAATTTGATCGCGGGACAATTTTTTCGGAAACTTCATTTAATCAGTCTTCCATCAGTAGATTCCATTCATATATCCAAATTTGATCGCGGGACAATTTTTTCAGAATCATTTCATATAAGTTAAATTGAGTCTTGATCCGAACGAGCTGGTTGAAAATTTTCCTTGCTCACCATGGACCAACAAATGAGTCAATCAATCAAGCTGAGAGCAGCTCTGACCACAAGGATCAAGGAAATTATGGGAAAATCATCAGCAACAGGGATCTTCAGAGGGGGGATATTGCAAACTCACCTTCTACACAAAGCAAGGTGAGAGGTTATATTTAGGGCCTTATTTGATCCGCTCTATTAAATGGTCTCACTTAAGATTAAGAATTGGACATGAGCTAGACAGTTGCTTAGCAACACGTGATGTCAACTTCCATGCTTCTGCGTCAATCTCAGAATATGAGATCAATCGAGCTGCACTGACAGTTGCCCATGCAATGGTAAATCCTTGTGAGTTGTTTCACTCTGCAAGATATCACCTGGTTTTAAATTCACATCATTTGCAGATTATGTGGATTGGGATGTTGACAGATTTGCCGAAATGGCCAAAGTCTCTACACCTAAATCTGATGGTCCCCTCGCTAATACCAATCAGCTACCAAAGTACTTTTCTGCAGCTATGATCGGTAAAATTTCAGCACCAGCTACTATTGTGGACAGGCAAGGTAAAATTTTAACAATTTACTTGCCAAATATTCTGTCTTCTTCTCGGGTTGTATGTTCATTCTTCCTTGGGAATTCCCCTCATCAATTGATAAATTAAATTAGGAATATGTGAACTCAGCCACTAAGGGTTTACGGACTTTACTTCTTGAAACAATTACGTCCTCCACCCAACAGTCTTGGCGATCTCAAGGCTTTGTTGTCCCAGAGGGGGGTGGAGAATTTGGAGCAGGCAGAGTCACAGTATCACCAGCATATTTTATGCAAAGACACGAGGTATAGGCCAAATTTAGTGGCTGTTTAGCTACTTTTGACTTTGTTTGATTTCATTTGCAGAGACTGGAAGACCCAATGGTTACCTCGGCTTCCTATAAGTCTGTGGAAGTCCAAGAGTGGCTAGCTGCTTTATCAGCTACTGAATCTTTCTGGAATGCCATTACCGCTGTATCGGCTCCAGATCTATTCGAAGCAGGCACCTTGGCAATCACTCGTATTATTGAGGAACTTCAAGGTTCTGATAGAACATCACCACCCATCTGTGATTGGCCCTCGATCTTCTCAGGATTGGAAATAATTGCAAATCGTACAACTTTATCACACAGAGATTCTGGTGGCGCACCTTCTCTTTTTGATCTTCTGATTAGTTTAGGCAGTGGCCATGAGGCTAAGTTGACATTAGCAGATGTTGGGGCCGAACTGGATTATTACCCTGGGACAATGGTCTTCATTTCCGGGAAGGTTTTACAACATTCTATTGGTCCATGGGGTCCGGGAGAAAGGCTCGTTATTGCCCATTTTATGAGGGATAAAATCCACTCTAGATGTGGGGTATCCAGACCCCCCTTTCCAACACAGGCCTATTTTTTGCAGATGGTGGGGCAGCAGGATAGTTATTTGTTGTGACAAGTAGATGATAAGAAAGGAGTGGTTCTTGGAGGAGGAGGGGTGGAATGGGACAAATCAAGTGTTTGACAGTATACCTACTAGATTAGTTGATGTGATCTAGTGATTCCTATGAATGGTTTCAACTATCAAAAATAGAATGTTGATAATATCAATTTTTCCCCCCACACGTAACCCTATGTCTCCCAAGAAAAAAACTCGACTCAAGGCAGCTACATTTTCCTTCCAAGGAAGAGGTCGTTTGTCTAAAGGCAAGGACCTTGATGTTGCCTATGTGTCTCATAAACAAGTCATTGGAAAGAGAAGGAAGCCAACCTGGGTGGAATCATGCGCTGATAGCCTTTATGACACTGCCCCAACACCATCTCCATCCTCCAGCCCTCGTAAACGTATTAGAGAAGACACTCAAGGGTTGCAAAACAGTCATGAAGATTTTGATAGACAAACCCTTGGTGACTTTGTTTCCTATGTAGAGAACTCACAAAGAAAAACCAAGGCAAGCATAGTGATTCAGTGTCTTTTAATGATGTACTAAATAGAGATTATTACGACCAGACACAAAATGACTTCATCCAAGAATATCTGCCTTTCCGAGACTTGTACTTGGATATTCTCCTTGACTTGGAGAAACCCTCCGATGTATCCCAGTGCCAGTCTTGTCAGATTGGTGAAGGGAAATTCCGCTGTTTGACTTGCAGTGGAGATCAGACATTCTGTCGTTCTTGCATTGTCAATGCTCACCAGTTTTTGCCCTTCCACAAGGTTCAAGAGTGGACTGGGAAATGCTTCAACGACACATCACTTGAAGAATTGGGTTTTATCTGGTATATGGGCCATGGGGGACAACCATGTCCATTTTCTGACGACATGCATGCATGGGAGAATATTCCCATGGACGCAGAGGCCAATTTTTCACCAATGGAGACAGTTCATGGTTCAACTATACCAACCAAGTTGACCATTGTACATTCCACTGGAGTGTTTTTGCACAACGTTGTCTGGTGCAGCTGTCCTGGGGTCGATTGTCAGCAGCATTTGCAATTGCTGAAAGCTAAATTATTTCCAGCCAGTACCACTCGACCACAGACTGCCTTTACTTTTGATGTCCTCAATCATTTTCTAATTGATGCACTGGAGTGCAAGACTTCAGCATCCAGCTTCTTTGAAAAAATCCGTCGAATGACCAATAACTGTTTCCCAGATACTGTTCCTGTAAGTCTTATAAGTCTTCTTGGTGAAAGTTAAACTAACAGTACCAATTTGTTTTTCTAGAATCGATATCGAGAACTTATGAGAGTGTCTCGACTGTGGAGAGACTTGATGAGTCGAAAATGGTTTGGCTTTGCCCATAATGATGAGCAGAAACCGGACAAGGGTGATCTGGCTTGGTTTTGCCCTGCTTGTCCACAGCCTGGGATTAACCTACCTCCTGACTGGCAAGCCAGATATGAAAGGCAAGTCATTTATCCATCTCATTCTAAGGAGAGGCGACTCAATTTCTCTACCACACTTGAGAATATCATACTCACTGGCTAGCCCTACACTGCATAGTGTACGAGAGCTCCGGCCGGACTGACTTATGTTCTAATCAAGCTGGCCAGCATGGCATAGACTGGATGTAAAACCAGGCCGGCCGGCACATTAAATTGGCTTGCTAGCTTGACACAGATAGCATGCATAACCATGCTGGCCGGTTAAACTGAGGTGCATAGATGTCACTCAAAGACATGCCAGCCAGAGAGTTGGTCCGGAGAGAGACTTCTACTTTTCTTTTTTGCACATTTTTAACCTTATGCTTACCTGTTTGTACAGTTGGCTTGTTTCACAAAGATATGTGGTAGACGGGAACTTCACTGCTCAACATATGGTAATGAGAAAACCACAGTTGGACATTAGTTTGTCAGACGGGCTTGGGTATATGGTGAAAGATCAAGAATACCAGACTCATCTGTCATCGGCTGTAGAAAGTAAAGAGGTGAGTTGGCTCATGACAACCACTTTTCGTTCATGCTTCACTATCTTTGTAGCGGTCTTCTTGCAGCAATCATCGTGCAGTAAATGCAGCCAATATCAGCAGGAGCAATCTTCGAGCTACAGGTGTAGGAGCAACTGCTTGTGCTCGACATGGATGCTTTGTTCCTCATAGTATAGTTGATTTTCAGAAGGGCGAAAGGTCTGTGTATGTCCTCCAAATCAACATGTTATGCAAGCTCAGGTAATTTTTAGACACATGAATATCGACTACTCAATATGCAATGCATTGAATTATCATTCAGCTGGTATAGACTCTTCCCTCATCATTTATGATGTGGGGTGTCAGTGGAGCATTAATTTTCTACAGAGAGTAGCCCAGAGCAAGGGCTTGTCTGTACCTGAAAATATGCACATCGTTCCAGCAGTTGGAAAATTCCATCTTAGCGCTCACAAATTAGCTTGCTTTGCAAGGTACAGCCTCAACTTTATTCAAGGGGCTGGACATGTTGATGGGGAGATTTTGGAGACTCTGTGGGCACCATTCAATAAGATCTCCCCAACTGCTCGGTCAATGAGTCAGGCTCACCGTCAAGAAGTTCTTGATGATCATATGCGAGACTCAAACTGGAAAAAAATAGTGGGAATAAGTAAGCCCTCCAAATTTTGCATTTGAACAAGCTTGACAATTGAGCTTCCAGTGAAGACTCTCTTGAAAAAGTACAAACGGGCTCTCAAAGGTGTTGATGACACAAAGTCTCCCTTTGACGAGCTCACTCTGTCTCTGGACCCTGAGAAGATTTCGATATGGAAGATCGATGAGAAAAAGGCCATGGAACAACGTGGAGAGTATCTTGACATCTATCAGTTGCAGATGAACAAAGGTAAGTGAACTCTGTCTAGTTGTGAGGCTGCTATTCTTGTATAGACATCTGATCAGTATTTGTATCTAGCTCCAACTATGGCAGAGATTAGACTCAAATTAACTGAGTCTGAGAATACCGACACTAGCAAACCTGGGACAGTCTCTTGGCTCATTACTGGCATCAATCTGGAGGATTTACAGTATGTAACCAATAAAAATAGAGAAACCGTTTGACATAGTACTATTTTAGGGATGGACTAAGGGCAGATATTCGACAACTTCCTACTGATGCAACCCCAGGACAGAAAGTTTCTATAGAAGAGAAGCGACAGAGATTGACAGCTAGGATAGCTAAATTTCATGAAACAGCTGATGCCATGACTGCTGGTATGGATCTTGGAACTGCAACAGTGCATTCCGACGATCCTAGATTCTGCTATGCAGGTCATGATGAAAATGGTTGGGGAGAGGTCTCAGATGAAGAGATCTCAGAGTATATTGACGAAGAAATCTTGGCTGAAGAGATGGGTATCTGGATGCCATCATCAGTGCCCTACCAGGATGCATTGGCTCTCGGACTGGGTCCCCTCCAAGCTGAAGAATTAGAACTTCGAAAGGGCCAAGCCAATGACTGCCTCGAAAAGCTTCGAATGGCCCTTGGTCATAAGGCCATCATCTATCGTCAGTATTTTCGAAGTGCTAATTCTACATGGGCTGGGACTAGGTCAAAGCAAGAAGCTCAACGCTGTCAGCTCAAAATTGACAAGTGTGTAAGAAGCTATCAGAGGGCAAGGTCAGCAATGGAAGGTCTAGGCATGGACAAAGCCACCTTGGGGAGTCTTTATCAGCCAATATCGCCTACAGAGCTCAGTATAGACAAAGAGGTGACAGAAGAAAATAGATTTGGACAAGGGTCAGACAGGCTGGCTTGGTTTTGGAGGGGAAATAATGCAAGCCAAGGTCAAGACGATGCCTGGATAGATGAATGTAAGAAAAAATCTTTATCTCTATGATATGTCACTAAAGCTCCAACCGATCTAGTCTACAGGGTGAACTGGTTGAAGGCTAAGGCTAGATGGAATAGATGGCAAGAGGAATTAAGGCTGGTAAGACATGAAATGGGTTGGACCATAAACTGGTTCAAGTACCACCAGAATGAATGGGAGAGAAGGGGTGGCCAAGCCACCAGACCTGGTCATCAAGCCTATGCTTATCAGCAGGTCTTGATGTGGGGAAGATTTGTTGAGGAGGCAGAGAAAAATTTCAATGGATGTCAATTTATACTTTGATCTGGTATACTGTCTTTGCTAGGAAAAATATGACAGGATAATTCTCAATGCTAATGAATGACAAGGTAGCTTAGCTAGCACTAGCTCCACTCTATGTAGTCCACAGCTGGCCGAGATAATTGTATTTAAGATATGGACTGGCCAGATGGTTCCTACAGCATGTATGTACATGGCTGGCCCTTATAAGAGTATATAACTAGCTTATATCTACCCTATGCAGTCCATGTAATTCTGATACCAATAACTGGTTAGCCTTGATTCTACAATAGACAGAATCAAGTCGGCCGGTATGAAATGTTGAAACCAATAACCAGCCAGTCTTGATCATACATGTCGTAGGAACTATCTGACCAGTATACAAATCTGAAACCAATGACTGATCAGCCTTGATTCTACTATTGTACAATTAAACCGAGCAATATTAAAACTAATAACTGGCCAGTCTTGATTCTACATGTTGTAGAATTAAACCGGCCGGGATGCAATGTTGGAATTGAAAACCAGCCAGTCTTGATTCTACTGTTGTAAAATCAAACCGGCCGGAATGCAATGTTGTGATTGAAAACCGGCCAGTCTTGATTCTACTATTGTACAATTAAACCGGCCGGGATGCAATGTTGTGATTGAAAACCGGCCAGTCTTGATTCTACATGTTGTAGAATTAAACCGGCCGGGATGCAATGTTGTGATTGAAAACCGGCCAGTCTTGATTCTACTATTGTACAATTAAACCGGCCAGGATGCAATATTAAAACTGATGACTGGCCAGTCTTGATTCTACATGTTGTACAAGCTATCTGGCCAGTATGAAATTCTGTAACTAATGACTAGTATAGAAATTACAAAACAATAATTAGCTAGT